GCTAGAATGAGGATTGGAGAGAAGATGAAAAGAATTTTTTTTTTTTTTTTGAGACGGAGTTTCGCTCTTGTTACCCAGGCTGGAGTGCAGTGGCGCAATCTCGGCTCACCGCAACCTCCGTCTCCTGGGTTCAGGCAATTCTCCTGCCTCAGCCTCCCGAGTAGCTGGGATTACAGGCACGTACCACCATGCCCAGCTAATTTTTTGTATTTTTAGTAGAGACGGGGTTTCACCATGTTGACCAGGATGGTCTCGATCTCTTGACCTCGTGATCCACCCGCCTTGGCCTCCCAAAGTGCTGGGATTACAGGCTTGAGCCACCGCGCCCGGCCCGAAAAGAATTTTAAGAAGAGAAAGTGATTGCATTTAGTAAATATGTTAGGAGTGTGGGAGGAAAGTAGAGTGAGCAGTAAAATTGAGGTGGAGAACACAGGAAGGAGAACAGATTTAAGTAAGATGATAGTGAATTAATTTGACAATGTTGAGGACCTATGGGGAAAATCTCATGGATGCCATCTAGCATGTGGTTTGAAAGAATGGTCTGGTACTCTGGAAGTCATTGGCATTTAGATGACATTTTACATGAATGTTATTGGTAATTGTGATGACCAAAGGAATCCTGACATGTTAGAAGCCACTAACATGTTAAGAAGCTAGCAAAGCAGCCCTGAAGCCAATGGAAAAGATGTGGTGTTGGAATTGTATCCAGCATTCCAAGGAGGAAGATGATGGGAGTGGTCAGTAGCATCACACTCTGGAGGAAGTGGAATGAAAATTAATCATGAATTTGTGGTATTGGAGATACTGACAAGAATGAATTATGGTTGAGAGCCCTCTAGTGGAAGGGAGCATGGTGTTTGAGGAACAGGTAGCCTGATGCAGCTGCTCAGAAAATAATGTGAATGAGGCTGGAAAGGCTTTTTCTTCCTTTGAATACCATGTGATAACTTTCTTATTGGAAAGAAATTAATCAGGGGTTAGTTTTAGTCTCTCAGTGTGTGAAGGTTATATGTAAATTTTTTCTTTACCCTGTCAAAGCTAGACAAGATGAAGTTTTGAGGAGCTAAAACTTGCAGGCAATGACATTTTCTCCTGCAATGGGAAGCAGGGGGGAAGTGAGGGAAATTTTGTCCTGAGGAAAAGTATCAAATCTGACAGTAACAAGAGGCTGCCTGGGTTTATGATGCTGTGCTCAGCTGCAGGACCAAAGGATGAGTTCAAGGAGCCTTACCTGTCTATTAACAGGCTGCTAAGGAAAATCACTGTAAAATGTGTCCTTTTATGCTTTTATTTTTTTACAATGCCTCTTTGGAAAAACTACCTGCTTATTTTTTTTCATTTATTATATGAATACTGAGATTAGAGGGAAGAAATTCTTATTTCTTCCTCACACAAAAGACAAGACAGGAGAATATTCTGTACTACCTTCTTTTCCCTTTGTTTATTAAAGTAATAATTGCACATAGAGAAGATTGTGGAACAACATATATAAAAATAGCAAACATTGCTTATTTCAGAGAGTAGAATTGGAGAGGGAAGACAAATTCTTTGCAACTATTTGGTTGTAAAATAACTAATAAAGTCCTGTATGTAGTCTTTAGGGTGAAAAGCCAAAAATAATTAGTATTTATAGAAAGATTAAGAAAACAATATAGAGGTAGAAATGTAGGAAGAATCTGCCGCTTTAAATTCATGTTGTGTATCTTTAGGTATATGTTGGCTTTTGTTACTATACAGACAGAATTTAGAATATGTAAAATTATATATTTATAAAAATGTGTACCTTTTCATTTATTTCATGGGCATCTTTCCATATTGATACATATCCATTTACTTCATTTTTTTGAAAGCAAATAGAATTGTAAAAAAGTTTCGGGGGAGACTTTTTAAAATTTAAATATATATACAGAAAACTGTCCAGCTTAATGGATACTTAAAGGTCAAGTGAGGATACCCATGTAACCATCACCCAGATCAAGATAAAGAGCAACGCTGGTCACCACACCAGCGTTTAAAGCCGCACCCCTAGTGGGGCCTCCCAGACCTCATTCTAACTCCCAGGCAGAAACCTTCCCCTTCTACATGGGTAACTACTATTCTGATTGCCATCCCTATAGATTAGTTGTGCCTGTTTTATAACTTTATATAAAATGAATCATATATAATTATGTGTGGCTTTTGTCTATGTGTGTCTGTGTCATAAGGTTTTTCAGTCAGTATATTATTGTGATGTTTATCCATGTCATTTCATATAGCAATGGTTTATCCTTTTCCTTTTGAGTATAGTAGTCTATAGTAGAATGTGTAGATGTCACAGTCAGTGTATTCTATTGTTGATGGGCATGTAGTAGTTTCACATTGGTGACTCTTACGGAAATGTTTATAAGAGCCTTCTTATCTCTTTTGAACATAATTCTGTTGAGCACTTGCTAGGTTATAGAGTGTATATATGTTCAGATCTAGCAGTTATCGTCCAACTATTTCCCAAAGTAGCCCTGCCATTTTATCCTTCCATTGGCAGTATGAGAGTTTTATATGCTCTATAGCCTTGCCAACACTTGGTACTGATGGCTTTTTGTTTGGTTGGTTCTGCTTTTTTGTTGTAGTTTTCTGGGTTTTTTTGTTTTTTTTTTTTAATAGCTTTTTAAAAACATTAATTTTAAAGCCTACAAGTGTTTTGTTATATAAATATACTCTAACTTAACTAAAGTCCATTTGATGAGATTTTATCTTCCTCTCTCACCTCAGATGCCAGAACCTGGACAGCTCTGATGTCTAGTGGGTTCTGTGGTTTGTTCTATGTATGATCTGACTGTCTGAGGAAGATTTCATATTGGAACCAATTAACAGAGCTGATAATATATTTTTTCTCAACAGATTTTTCTCGTTTTCTGAGTAGTATGATACCAATATGAAGAATCCGTGTAGTTTTATTTTCTTGACATGAAATTCAATGCTGATTTTATGATGGTTGTTTTCATCACTCTTTGGAAAAGCAGTATAGGCCAGGTGTGGTGGCTCGTACCTGTAATCCCGGCACTTTGGGAGGTCGAGGCGGCCTGGCCAACATGCTGAAACCCTGTCTCTACTAAAAATTACAAAAATTAGCTGAGCATGGTGGTACATGCCTGTAGTCCCCACTACTCAGGAGGCTGAGGCGGAAGAATCACTTATCACTTGAACCCAGGAGGTAGAGGTTGCAGTGAACCGAGATCACCCCATGGCAGTCCACCCTGGGCAACAGAGTCAAATTCTGTTTTTTAAAAAAAAGTAGTATAAAAATACTGTAATGTCTGAAACTAGACTTTTGGTGAAAGCTGATTTAATTATCCAGAAGAATTTGCATTTTCTTAGAAGAAGCATACAGTGCTAGCTGCCAATGCCTGCATCACATAGGTCTTTAGTCCATCGGAAAACTGCTATGTGAATCATTTGAGAATATTATCACTTAGGTTTTAGAAAACTGTTTGAATTTTGCCTTTTGAAATTGAAAGATGTTTCCAGGCTGGGCATGGTGGCTCATGCCTGCATTCCCAACACTTTGGGAGGGCAGAGGCAGGAGGACCACTTAAGCCCAGGAGGTAGAGAGAAGCCTGGGCAACATTGTGAGACCCTGTCTCCACAAAAAAAAAAAAAAAAAAGAAAAAAAGAAAAGAAAAGAAATTAGCTGGAATTGGTGGGGCCTGGCACAGTAGCTCATGCCTGTAATCCTAGCACTTTGGGAGTTTGAGATGAGAGGGTGTGCTGAGCCATGATTCTGCCACTGCACTCCAGCCTGAGTGACAGAGTGAGACCCTGTCTCAGAAAAAGAAAAAAGATGTTTCCAGTCAGAGGAATTTGCTTCACAGTCTTTGTTTTAACTCTTCCCTCGCCGGTTTCCTGAAATTTTCTTTTGACATAGGTTTTTAAGTACGTGAAACTCTAGGGGCTTGCTTGTAATGAGTTAAACATGATCCCTGGACCTCCTGCTTTTTCTGATGTTAGAGGGTGTGATTACTTCATGGCAGCTACTCTTCCCACTGGGCAGTATAGCTTTAAACAGGTGTTGGCACAGGTGGTATTCAGTCATATTGGTTACCACCAGTAATTCTTTGGGAGGTTTTAGGTATTGGCAACCTTCTCTGGTAGCTGAATGGTCTTTTGGAAAGGGCCTTGTGGACTTATAAGACAGTTTTGTCTTGCCTGTTGTTACTTGCTTTTGCCAGTTTGCACTGAATTATTCATTTTTTGGAATGATTATGAATGACCAAAATGAGCATGTGATTCTTATACTAGTAAGTTTTAGACATGCTTTTTTACTTTCAGATATAGAGATTCTTTACGTTTCTAAGTAATTGCTGTCAAGAGCTTCTAGGAGATAGCAGAAAACTACTGTTTTATATTCTGTTTGGTTTTGTGGAAAGCATGTGTTGGAAAAATGTCTTTGGCTCTTGAGATTTCTTAAGAGGTCATATTGTAGCATATCTCTGAAAGTCTGCTAATTCTTCTCTGTGGACTCTAAAAATGCCTAAATTAACAAATAAGCCAAAAACAACCTTATTGAAGACAGTATTTTCAATGACCTTTTGATTCCTAGCCCCTAAATCTTTTGGTCTGTGTCTATAATGAGGAGCAAAACTTGCTGACTTGACTTTTTTGCTCAATATCTGTTAAAATTTTTATTATTCTAAATCAGGGGCAGAGTGGAGAGCAATGGTAGTTGAAGGAGCACAAATATAATAAACTCTGACAAATAACTTTAGGAATCTCTTTATCTCAGATTCATGGAACTTTTTTGGAGATTAATTTTAGAGGCCATTGTCAGGTCTTAATTAATAAACTGCTTTGACGTCTAAGAGATAATTTCTGAGTATTTCCTAGCCAGTACAGCCAGCCTTTACAAAGGAATCCAATAATAGTTTGCTCAGGTTGCAACTTCCTTATAGACTGAACACAGAGCATAAAGAACCTTTATTAATTTCGCTGTAATTTCAGTGCCCCCTGTTTCTCTTTGTACATAGGTATCAGTCAGAGCCGGATCTCTCATTGGCTGTTGCAGCAGGGATCAGACCTGAGTGAACAGAAGAAAAGAGCATTTTACCGATGGTATCAGCTTGAGAAGACAAACCCCGGTAAATAGCACTTCCTTTTATTTATTGCCTCTGAAACAAGACAGATATAATGAATTACTTTAATGGCTCCATGGGGCTAACTTGTTAAGTAGGATAGTTTCATACTTTCCTATGGTTGCTTTATGCAGAAAAACGTTCTTAATGGTAAAAGCTAAACTCTGATTGTGATACATTTTATTTTGTCTAATATTATTTGTCGTGTTCACTCCTTCCCCTAAGATACCGCTTTGCTTTCAGGTTATATGATATTTCTATCCATAGTTGGAAAGAACACCATGAATGTTCAGTGGCTGATTTTGTTTTCTTCAGCTACGTAACTACATAAAATTCCATATCTTTTTTGGGTTTTTTTTTTTTTTTTGCAAATCTTGTTTGAATTAGTAATGTAAACTTGATATTGTTATTTAGTTCACACTATACCATATCCAGTGATCTCTGCTAATGATTTTTTTTTTTCTAATTCTAATGAATTGGGTAATGGATGTGGCTTTGGACTTTAGGATGCAGCTGTCCTGATAACTCTCAGGAGCAGCAGTAGATTGGAACGCAGAATGAAATCTTAAGGAAAACTAAGATGACAAAAACTTTTATGTCTAAAGTTGGAAGAAGTAGGCAAGATCTATTCAAGATACTTTTAACAGGTGATTTTATAAAGTAAAATATGAAGTTGTGGTACTATCTCAGCCTATACTTTACACAGGCAAGTGGCAGTGAGCCTGCTCTCAAGTATACAATTAAGATTATGTTGTGTTCTGTAATGCTGCAGCCTTAAAGCCTGTGCAAAAGACTAAATCGCTAGTTGAAATATTGCATAATAATAGCATTGGCTCTGAGGTAGAAATAAAGAATGTTACAGAGATTTATTTTTGTGTGTAGGTATGTGAGAAGATTTTTTTCCCCAAAGATCACTTTCTCATTCCGAATGATTCAGGCAGGATGAAACAGAAGAGACCATATCAACCTCTACAATAATATCAAAAATCTATTCTAATCCCCAATTTTTATTTTGAAATGTTTCAGATGTATAGAAAATACAAAAGACTAAACAGTAGACATATGTTTACTCTTTCTTAGATATAATAATTATTAACATTTGGCCAGGTGTGGTGGCTCATGCCTGTAATCCCAGCAGTTTGAGAGGCTGAGGCAGGCAGATCACTTGAGGCCAGGAGTTCGAGACCAGCCTGGCCAACATGGCGAAACCGCCGTCTCTACTAAAAATACAAAAATTAGCCAGGTGTGGTGGCACATGCCTGAGGCTCCAGCTTCTTGGGAGGCTGAGCTTGAACTCAGGAGTGGAAATGGTGCCACTGCACTCCAGCCTGGGTGATAGAGGGAGACCCTATCTCAAAAAAAAAATTATTATTAACATTTTATATTTGCTTTATTCCTATAAAAGAAATAAAGATTTATATGTCTATTTGTGTGTATTCAGCATTCATCTCCTAAAAATAATCTGTATTTCCAGTCCCAATTATTATACCTAAGAAAATCAATAATAATTCCATATTATCATTTTATGTCCAGTCTGTAGTCACATTTCTCTAGCTGTTGGAAGAATGTCTTTTGTAGCTTTTTTTTTTTTTTTTTTTTTTTGTGATGTGAACTTCTTAAACCATTGTAATTTAATAGAATGTCTCACATTATTTTTATTATCAAATATCTTATTTCTATATCCTTATGTTTCTGTAAACTGGAAGTTAGAATTAAGCTGAAGTCAGGATTCAGGTTGAATATTTTAGGCAAGAAAACTTAATAAATTATTTAGGGAGTCACATTGTAATGGCAGCAGTTTACTTTGAAATGCATCAAAAAGTAAAATGGCTTGACATATAGGGAAATGGACAGGTATGTGTTAAAGTACATATAAAATATGTGATATAAGTATGGTTTTCACTTAAATTCTTTCACTATTACGTGTTTAAAATTTTTTGCAATAAAATACTGGAGAAAAATACTTTGTAGGTAATGTTTACCTAATATTGCCACGTATGAGGAGGCCTGTCAGCATTAGGGTGTTGTAGCACTATTCATATGCTAAGTTTGATGATTTTGTTCAAATGGTGACCACCAGATCTTTTCTTTCCCATTTGTGAATAATCTTTAGGATGACATTTTGCCACTCGATGAATATCTTTTCCTGCAACAGCTTTCGTCAATTGCCTTAGCATTCATTGATGATCCTTGACTGAATCAGTTATTCTTTTTTGTTTTTTCTGAGACACAGTCTTGCTCTGTCTCCAGGCTGGAATGCAGTGGCACAATCTTGGCTCACTGCAACCTCTGCCTCCCGATTCAAGTGATTCTTACTCCTCAGCCTCCAGAGTAGCTGGGACTACAAGCGCACACCACCACGCTTGGCTAATCTTTGTATTTTTAGTAGAAACGGGATTTCCCTATTTTGGCATGGATGGTCTCAATCTCTTGACCTCGTCATCCGCACGGCTCAGCCTCCCAAAGTGCTGGGATTACAGGTGTGAGCCACCGCACCTGATCTGAATCAGTTATTCTAATTGGGATTGCAAAAGCAGATAATCAGCTGGTAATGGCAAATTCCCACGCTGGCGTTTCAATGCTCGGCTCGGATCCGGCTCTGAACTAGAAACAGGAAGGACGACTAAGATGCAGCTCTCTGGCTGCAGCACCTTTGTTGCAGCTCATCGGACAGGGGTCCAACTTTAGCACTAGGCTGGTAGTGTTCTTCTGAAGCTGGTTTTTTTTTTTTTAATTATTGTTATTTATTTTAGCATTTAGTCTTATTACCTATTTTAGTTTATCTTGAAATCAGAGTTGGGCCCACTCATTATCAGGAAATTGGAGAAAGGTAGAAGAAGGGAATTGGAACTAACAGCATTCATCCAGCTGATCATTAGGAGCTGATTTCTTTAAAGATATAGTACCCCTTTTAAGACGTTCCTCTAATTATATGCATTTGTTTTTTAGTGAGGTTGCATTATTGTCACCTTTTTAAAGTAGTTTCTATTTTTTTTTTTTTAATCAAATCCTATCTACTGGTTTTCTCAGTCAGGTTTTTCTGTGGGACATAATTTAAAGGTAGCTGGAGTTAAGAGGGCAAGTTCGTAATTGCCAATTGGTAGTTTTTGCATTAACAGTAGTTGGGTATTAGCAATTGAAATCTGTTTATCTTTTTCTTTGCTTTTTCACCTTTATTATAAAGGCTAATATGGCATAGAATTCTTTCTAGATAAATGTGATTTTATTTTGTTGACTGTAAAATAACCTTTGATTTTAGCTTAAGGATGGTATCATTTCTTACTCCATTGACACTTTGGAGCCACTGTTATGTTTGGATAAGATGAACTAAAATTATGTTAGCTTATAAGACATCAGATCCTTCTTTGCAAGTCATTTCAGAGCTGATTAGAATCCACTCAGATGTCCCTCAGTTGAGAACTGGTTAAACAAATTAATGTCACATCTGTACAATGGAATCTTTTGGAGCTATGTAGCTATTTTTTGAAGGCAGCTTTATGTGAATTAAATGTATATGAGGTGACATGGAATTCTTAAGTAGAAAAGGGACATAACAGTATCGAGGGCATATTTCCATGGGGGAACACACACACACATACAGATGTATGTGCTTACATAAGCATAGAAGATGACTGAAAAGCTGTTTAGGAACTGGGAAGAACAGCTCTGTGAAGGGGAACTGAGTGACTGGGAGTACAGGGGTAAGGACTTAACTAAACAACCTAATGTATCTTCCCCTGCCTCCCACCCGCCGATACAGAGTCTTGCTCTGTCGCCCAGGCTGGAGTGCAGTGGTGCCATCTCAGCTCACTACAACCTCCACCTCCTGGGTTTCATACCATTCTCCTGCCTCAGCCTTCTGAGTAGCTAGGATTACAGGTGTGTGCCACCATGCCCAGCTAATTTTTATATTTTTAGGGGTTTCACCATGTGTTGGCCAGGATGGTCTCGATTTCTTGACTTGGTGATCCTCTCACCTTGGCCTCCCAAAGTGCTGGGATTACAGGTGTGAATCACTGTGTCCAGCCCCTAATGTATCCTTCTAAATTTTATACTATGTGCTTGTATTATATATTTGAAAACTAAAATGTAATAGGAAGGAGGGAGAGCGAGACCAAAAGAAATCAATCTGCCTTGTAAGATTAAAAAGAAAAGAAAGAAAAGAAAGAAAGAACAAAAGAAGAAGAAAAAAAGAAAGAAAAGAAAAGAGGAAAAGAAAGAAAGGAAGAAGAAAAGAAAGACAGGCTTACATGGTCCAGACCTGCTTTTGAGAAGCAGCTAGGAAATAAGTTGTCAGTGATTTTTATCAAGTAATTCTTTCATTTCGTTAATTTTTTTCTGTCTAGGAAAGATAGCTCATTAGGGGAAATGTAAATAGTGTCATCCCTTTACATATATTCTGAGAAGAAAATGCAAAATTAAGAAAAGTCACAAAATGAAAAACTATTTTTTCTTGTTTCTTCTGTAAACTTAAGCATTTAGAAAACAAATATGTTTGTATATTCTATGATTCTATTCCTGGGCCTTAGAGCATTTTCTTTGTATACTTTGAGTGAAGTTCTTTTTTTCAACCTCTTCAGTCTGGATCCAGTTGGATATCGCTTTTGTTTTTTTTAAGTTTCTCTTTAAGTGGACTCAGCAAGAAAAATAATAGAATGGATATTCAGGTTAATTTTACTGATAACCCAATTGATATCGTGCAGTTCTCTGATAACAGACTCATCATCAGAATTTCCCAGCATAACCGAAAGCCTGCCAAGGCATATTAATAAAACAGGCTGATGGAAACTAATCAAATACATTTTATCTTGTTTCTTATGAAAACACAAGAAAATACCTATTTTTTTTAAAAAGAAGCAAGTACTAAATTCAACATGGTTGACATCAAAAGTCCCTTTATTTAATCAAATTAAGTTCACAGTCTTTTTCCCTTGTCTAATTTAAATGTCACTATAGCAGACCGGGTTTGCTGAGTTCCTCTTGGCATGTGGCGCCGATTCTGAATGCTTCTAAATTAAACAAATAAAATTTGCCAAGATGCTTATGCAGCAAATACATGAGATAAGAGTCATCAGAAGAAATGCGCAGTCCTTTATTTGCAGATTGTGAGATATCAGGGAAACGTGTGTGACATGAGGGGAGATATGACATTACTTTTGGAGAGGCTAGTTCCTGTGGATGGCGTAGATATGATGAGCTTGTATAGTCGCTCACCCAGAGCTAACCCTGATCAGCAAGAACATTATCATATATGTATAGAGCACACTTACCAAAATTTTTAAATCTCTTACCAAATTATGAAAAGGTTTTGTTTTCCTCACGGGTTTAGATTTACTAGGTGAAGGTGCAAAATTTTGTTTTAATGGAAACTTAGACGGGGGTGAATAAACATTTCTATAAAGAAATAGACAACACACTTTTCCTGTTAGGACCTTAGCCAACCCAGAACTCCTGTATTTTACTTCAGAGGAGTTTAAAGGCTTATATACATTGTTCCTGCATTCTAGTAACTTTGTGTTTTTCTGTTAGAGTCAATAATTTTGAGCTCATTCTTGGATTTTTTCATTGCTTTTCATCCATTTCAACCAAAGCAAGATGAACCAAGTTTTCCAGAACAAATTTATTTGTTAATAACTTCCAGAATGCTTTTTGTGCTGTTTTTTAACTACCACTACATTGAAAAAGGAGCCAGAAAAAAAAAAAAAAACTGAAAAGTAATGTGGTAATATGTTCTAAATTAAGTATTTTGGTGAGTTTGAGATTATTCAGTTTTCACCTTCTGTGCATAAAGTGTCTTGATTTCTTTCAGAATAACCAGGTTACTGCTTACTTTTCTCTCCTTTTTCTCCATTTTTCCTCTAGCCTCTTCCTTTTCCTTCCTGCCCAGTTTCGTTTCATCTGAATTTCTTCAGTTCTTGAGACTATCTTGACAATACAGAATATTATAAAGAAGCATAGTATTATTAATAAACCCCGATACCAAGAAAGAACCATTATTATTAGTTGGCTTATTTCCTTCAACCTCTTGGTTAAGATTCTTTCTGTCCTCTGTTCTATTGGTACCCATTTATCACTCTGCCTACTGAGGACCACAGTTACGGATGTGGCCCACTACCTGGAATTCACTGACCTGTTGCCCCCCTCCACCCTGAAACTCTTTCTTTACCAGGGTCATCCCTTGGACAAGAGGTTATATTCCCTTAGCCCGTCTATTTCTACTTCTATCGTGATCAGCCATGATAACTGGTTGGCTCTGTTTAGTCCTTTTCACCCTTGCTGTAGAATAAAATTTATGTAATTTTAATTAGGTAGATTCCAGAGCTCTCGCTGTGCTATAATCCCTGTTTGTTTTCAGAAAAGCACTAAACAGCATTGAAACCCTCCAGCCCCCAAATTCCTGCTTATGTCTAAACTTTGTTAACTTTGAGTTAGGCCCAGAGTGAATTCCCAGCTTATTTTGGCAGAATGAAACCCTTTTAAATTGTTTAAAGAAGGGTTTCAGTTTAGAGTTTCATGTTGGGTAGAACAGAAATGTTTTTAAACCAGGGGTCAGCAAACTCTTCATATAAAGGGCCAGACAATAAATATTACAGGTTTTGCAGACTATATGATCTCTATCTTAGCTATTCAACTCTTTCGCTCCAGTGCATTCATAGCCATAGACAATCTGCAAATGAATGAGCTTAACCATGTTTCAGTAAAACTTTATTTACAAAAATAGGTAGCGGGCATAATTTGCCAACTCTGTTTTAGGGTGAGCTTTAAATCTCTAAAGCATTACACGATGACAAACTTACTTGTTTGAGCAGAAATGTTAAATAAATATTTACTTTCCATCACATACTTTAGAAAATCACATACATATTAAGGGCTCAAACACAAAATGAAAAATGTAAAAATACTCTGAGTGATATTTAGGCCCATTGGCCATAATACAGAAGACTGACAAATTTGACTGTATAAAAATTAAGATCACAAAGCACACCATAAAACACAAATGACAGACCAGAAAAAAAAATTGCATTCTGTATGACTAGCAATTGATAAGATTTCTATGTACCAACACCCCCCCTCAAAAAAAAAAGGAACAAGAGGAATTCACAAGAAAATATATAAATGGTCAATAAACAGGAAAAGATCCTCATTCTTATTAGTAGTGAAGTCTCTATATTAAAGGGAAATTTTTTGCTGCCAAATTTATACATTTGAATAATTAATACTCAGTGCATTGGGGGATAAAGGGAAATAAACAAGGGGGATGATGTGATTATTTTTATTAGTTATCTGTTTTTATACTACAAACTACCCACAATTTAACAGCTTAACACAACCAGCATTTATTATCTCATAGTTTTCATAGATCAGGAATCCAGGAGTGGCTTAGCTGGTTGGTTCCGGCTCAGAGTTCTGTAAAGGTTGCAGCCCAGCCGTCAGCCTTGGCTGCAGTCGTTGGGACTAGATGGTCTACTTGGAAGCTCATTCACATGGATATTGACAGGTCCCAGGTCCTCACTGCCTGTTGGTCAGAGACAGCAGTTCCTTACAACATGGGCCTCGCCATCCACTGCCTGAGTGTCCTCACACATGGCACCTAGTTTTCCCTTGAGTGAGTAAGAGAGAAAGCATCCAAGACAGATGCCACGGCGGCTTCTGTAGTCTGATCCTGGGAGTGACATCCCATCACTGCTACATGCTGTTGGTTGTACAGCCTAATCATGGTGCCGTGTGGGAAGGGACTAAACAAAGATGTACAGACCAGGAGGCAGGGATCCCTAGGGACCTTGGAGGTTGACATTCACATGGCTGTGCTGGGACTGAATGTCTGAGGCCTGGTTTCTATCAAGTGGTTTCTGCACTTCTCCATGTGGCGTCTGTTGTGGCTGCAGTGTCCAAGATGGCTTTTTCTCTCAAATGCTGGCACCTGGGTGGAGTTGGCACAAGCCCCTGGGGACTATCAGAGCATCTTTCACTCCATGTAGCCTCTCCACCTGGCTAGCTTGGGCTTCCTTACAACATCATAGTCTCAGGTTAGTCAGACTTCTTATATAGCCACTGGTGTCCCCCAGCGCAAGCATTTTAGGAGACCTAAGCAGAAATTTCAAATCATCTAATAACATAGCTTTGAATTGTTTAGGTTTTCTGGCTGAAAACCTGTCTGTCATCATGACTAGCTCAGATTCAAGGGCATGATTAGCCAGAGGTGTGACTTACTGTGAAGAGTCATCTTTGAAACTTGTCCCAGGAAGCCATGATTATGAGATAATGCTGAAGTGTTCTAAAAGTAGTAGCAGTACAAGGAATAAAATTGGTCTGATACTGGAAATATTTTGAAGATGAACTTGCCTATTAATTGGTTATGTAATATATGGGGGAATTAGAGAAGTGAAAGATTAATTTGAGAATTTTGAGCTGAGCAGTTTGAAGAGTGGCTGTTTAGTTACTGAGCTGGGAAAGACTGCAGGACAGTAGGTTTGAAAAGGAACATCAGGATTGATTAACAAATTGGACATCTGTGGAAGAGAATACATCAAAAGATGTAGCTATTAAGAAGGGTATCTACAATAGATCTGTAAGTCTTGAAGTAGAAATACTATCCATGGTATTATTTGCAAGTTACAATAAAGAGAGTATTAATCCTATAAGGAAGAAATAAATATATATTAATATTCATTAATAGAATTAATATATTTATTAATATTTGCATAAACCGTACACATTCTAACATGTCTTTCTAGAGCTGTATTAAGAGTTTAAATTAAACCACAGGCAGAGAGAATTTTTTGAAGGGTTTTGATCAGAGGCTGATATGATCATAATTATGCTTTAGAAAGATGAATTTAACAGTGTAAGAAGTGAAAGAAGAGTTGGGGAGCCAGGGACTGAACTCTTTGAAAGCATACCAAGTTACATTGAAAGTATGAAATAAGTTCATGGAGGGCAGAGACAATGTTGCTTTCCCGGTTTTATTCTTAGTTTCTACCCCAGAGCAAGGCACTTGAAAGGGATTTGATAAATGGTGTACGAATGAATAAATGCATCATTGGCAGTTCAAGCTATTTGAGAAAGGAGTAATCTGAATTAGTAAAATGTCTTAATTATAGGTGTTTCTCATTGATATTTTATTATGTTCAAGAGGTAACAGAATCTAGTATAGCATCAACAGGTAAACTTAAAGACACCTGAATTAGTTAGACAAAAAGCACATCAAATATCATCTTACTTTCCTTCATGCTGTATTTCACTCCTTTAAAAAAAAAAAAAGTTTACAAGAATTAGGGTTATTTTCTACCTGCACAAATTCCTTAAGAGCTCATAATTTGTGTGAATGGTAATGAAAGATTCTGAACATCTAAGGTATATTGTTCAAAAAGAGTATAGCTATAAAGCAGGAATTTCAAAAGAAATTTTTCAGAGAAAGATACAAAAAGTTGACACTAAGCCAAAGACCGTACTTCCCCATTCCCGTAAAGAGGTAGATGTCATAATGGTTTAAAGAAACTGCAAGATATTTGCTAAAAACGTCTTGTTTATTTCAGGGGCTACACTAAGTATGAGACCAGCCCCCATTCCAATAGAGGACCCTGAATGGAGACAAACACCTCCCCCAGTCTCTGCCACATCTGGTACTTTCCGACTACGACGAGGGAGTCGATTTACCTGGAGAAAGGAGTGCCTGGCTGTTATGGAAAGGTATATGTCACCTTTTTCTATGAGAAATCTCCCAAACTTAGGGAAGATATCAACTTTGGATAGATGGGGACAGTTTTGATGTCAAACAAGAAATTTGGTATCTAGGTTCTATCTCTAAAAGTACTTTGGAATATTATAAGTGCTGTATTATTGAAATAAGGTGATCTTAGCATTGAGAATTCATAAAGCTGGAGTTAGCATCTATCAATTTATTTTACTTCTAATATTGTCCCCAATAATTTAAGAAATGTTAGAATAAATATTTTTTGAATTCAGATCTTTGTATTATATTTTGGAAAAACTCTTTGAAATCTTCTTTTCATCAAAAATATTGAATAATTGTGTATAGGAGACTACTGAGATTCAACTTTCTTTAATAATGAGTGTGGTCTGAGTAAGCGTTGTCCCAGAAGTTAAAAATACTCACTTTTGACTTTGATTTAGTAATTTATGCTCTCATTCTAGCACCAGTACCTGGTACTCAGTGATTTTTTTTAACCTGAATTTGACCTTAGCTTCAATTTTCCCATCTGAAATGGTATAAATTAATTATGAATGTGAAATTTTGGCATACTTAGCATAGATCTTATAGCAGAATTATCTTTGTCATCTACTTGTAAGTGATTTTTACAGAATCACTTACAGAATTTTGTTTACAGAATTTTGTTTCAGTGGAATTTTGTTTATATTCAACAACGTAATAATGTTCCAGCTGTACATTTTTCTTATCTGACCTGACTTGTAGAATGGTATATTGGACAGGGCACTGGACTCAGAGTCAGAAAACCTAAACCCAGCTAACTTTGTTTAGGTCACAAACTCTGAGGTATAACTTCAGGTCTAAAATGAAATTTTTCGATAGCCAGTATGTCATCTAAGAGCCATCTCTCATCCTGCTACGTTCTGATTATTTCCCAGCTCATAAACTTCACTACCTGAAAGAGAGGGAGATTTAAAATGACGTTTTTGTTCGTGTGATATAGTTTAATAGGTTTGCTTAAGGTGAAGGATAGATCCAGTATCCAAAATGAGACTATAGGTTATCCATTGATGTTGTCATCTATTCCTTTCCTCACTTTATTATAGATAAAAGCAGAAGCCATTCATTGAATAATGAATCCTTATGTGCTTGAGTCATTAAAGTGAAAGAATGAGACATTATTGTCCTGGAGACCTGACGTTTACAATCTCCTCTACTTTTCTCATCTAGAAATTTTTATTCTTTTTGAAAATTTCTTTAGAACTTGGCACACAGCAGATGAGAATTAAAATAATGTCTAACTTAAATTATTTGCAGTATTGTACATTTTCCTTCTGGTATTCGTTTCTACCTGGTGTTAAGTTCTAATTTCCTAGTGATTTGGCCAGTTAGTTTTTTCATGAAAATACCAGTATATATTTATCACAGAATGTCAGCATGAGAAAGAATTAAGTTAAAAATTGATGACATTACTATTGATAGGTGATATTCCTAATGCATTTTCAGGATTGAACTTCACAAACTTAGGGATTCTTATTTTTCCCCAGCGACAAGAATTAGTCACAGAATCACACTGAATATTAATTAAAAAGATATCGAGCATTTACCCTATTCTATGACTCCTATTTAGTCTTAATTTATGCTTTTTAACATTAATTTTAATTAATAAGTGGCTTTGTCTAATCCAGGAGTTGGTGATCTTTGGCTTAATTTTATGTTCTCTGGCACCACTAGAAAGAGGATGTGGTTTATGCCAATAGTTGCAAAAATGCAGAAAGCCTTTCAAAATAATAGTGCAGAAAGCCTTTCAAAATAATAGTACAGAAGGTCACAGTATGATTTTTATTCTGTAAAAATGGAAATTTTTGTTTTCCAAAATGAAAATTCCTACCATTAGCATGACACATAATATTTTTTTCCTTGACTGAATGGAGGAATAAATACATGTGCATAGACTGTAAAACCGACAAAGTGAGCCTTACTCAAATGTTAGTATAAGATAAAAGTAAGGCCAGACATGGTGCTTTACACCTATAATTTTGGCTTTGCGAGGCAAAGGCAGGAGGATCAGTTGAGGCCAAGAGTTTGAGACCAGCCTGGGCAACATAGCAAAACTCCATCTCTACAAAAAATTCAAAAAATATCTGGACGTGGTGGCATATACCTGCCTTCCTAGTTACTCAGGAGGCTGACATGAAAGGATTGCTTGAACTCAGGAGCTTGAGGTTACAGTGAACTGGGATTGCACCACTGCACCACAACCTGGGTGACATAGGTCCTATCTCAAAAATAAAAATGAAATTTAAAAAAAGTCAAAAATTACTTCATTCTTCATACATCAAGATAAATTTCAAATGAATCAAAGAAGTGAATCCATATAAATAAGAAGAAAACATGAGTGGTCCCTTTATGTCCTGGAAATGGGAAAAATATTTCCTGTGACTCAAAATCTAAAAGCAATAAGGGAAAAGATTGATAAATATAATTACATAAATTAAAAGAAAAATTTTGGAGGGAGAAAAAGCTGAGCAAAGTAAAAGACAAATCGGAAAAAAAAAATTGCAACTTTTGTTATCCCTAATAAAGGCTCTTAAAAGAGAGAAGACCAACAACTTTATCTTTATTGGGCTAAAGATAGGAGAAAAAAATGCAAATGGTCCTTGAACATATAAAAATATATTCAATCTAATTCATAGTCAGAGAAATTCAAATTAAAACTACATTGAGATACTATTTCTCACTTATCGCATTGACAAAAATCCAGAAGTTTGGCAACGTTTTCTATTGATTGGGCTGTAGAGAAACAGAAACTCTCATATATTACTTGTAGAAATCCAAAATGAAACAACTTCATGGAAGGGAATTCAGCAATATCAAGGAAAATTACCTATGAGTTTACCCCTTGACTTGACATTCCTACTTGAAGAAAATTATCTTAGGGCCAGTGGCTCACATTTGTAAATCCCAACCTTTTGGGAGTCTGAAGTGGAAGAACCACTTGAGGTTAAGAGTTTGAGACCAGCCTAGGTAACGTAGTGAGACTCCATCTCTACAAAAAATTATCCAGGTGAAGTAGTGTACACCTGTAGTCCCAGCTGCTCGGGAGGCTTAGGTGGGAGGATTGCTTGAGCCCAGGAGTTTGAGGCTGTAGTGCACCGTGATCACACCACTGTACTCCAGCCTGGGTGACAGAGCAAGACCCTATTTCAAGAAAAAAAAAGAAAAAGAAAAATCTTAGAGATATACTGGCAGAACTATGAAAAGATAACAACATTGTTTTTACTGATTTCAAAATATCGAAGATGCCTTTATGTCTATAGTTACTGTAGAGTGATTAGGTCAATAAATTATAACACATCCGTAATTGGATGTTGAAGCCCATGTAATGGAGTACTATGAAGATAAAGAACAAAAAATTATATACAGTGATCTTCAGGATATAACATTAAGTTAAAAACAAGGCAGAATCATCTGTATATAGTACAAAGCTATCATTTATATATTTGCTTATAACTTATTTAAAATGGAGGAATAAACCATAAAATAAAATGGTTATCAATAAAAGAGAAACAGCTTGGAAGAGGGAGACGTAGAAGCTAGATTTCTCCAAAAATACTTTGTTTTGACCTGTAACTAAATTACATAATTATAAAACAAAATTTAAAATTGGGGAAAAATGAAGGGGGGAGGGGGGGAAAGGTGATCCTTAAAAAATAACTAAAATGAAACAAACCTGTGTATCAAAATAGTGACTTAAACACTCTAGAATTCTGTCATGTGTTTATAACACAGTAATTTCACTATGCTTCCAAGTGGGAAAGAGCTTAAGAATAAAAAGAAACACCAATAATCTTACACTGTTTTTACTAAATTCGTTAATACAGATACTGCTATTCAGGAACTATTTTTATTTACACAGCTTGGTAGGTATAGATATAGATGTAGGTAAAGATAAATAGTCAGGCCGGGCGCGGTGGCTCACGCCTGTAATCCCAGCACTTTGGGAGGCCGAGGCGGGTGGATCATGAGGTCAAGAGATCAAGACCATCCTGGTCAACATGGTGAAACCCCGTCTCTACTAAAAATACAAAAAATTAGCTGGGCATGGTGGCACGTGCCTGTAATCCCAGCTACTCAGGAGGCTGAGGCAGGAGAATTGCCTGAACCCAGGGGGCGGAGGTTGCGGTGAGCTGAGATCGCGCCATTGCACTCCAGCCTGGGTAACAAGAGCGAAACTCCCAACTCAAAAAAAAAAAAAAAAAAAAAAAAAGATAAATAGTCATATTAATGTTTTTAGGAACCAAGATTGTCAGTGCAAGGGAAAAGAGTAATATAAAATCAAAAGAAATAAAACACTGTAGTCTTCTGTGTGTCTGTTTGCATAGACAGAAATTTATCTTGATTTAAAAAACAAAAGGCTTAATGAGATAGAATTCATCTATTTAAAGTGTACAATTTAATGCTTTTAAGTATATTCACAGAATTATGCAACCATAACCTCAGTCAGTTTTTGTCAGCCCCTTTCCCTTTTTAAGACAGGGTCTTGCTCCGTCACCCAGGCTGGAGTGTAGTAACACTATCATAGCTCAGTGCAGCCTCAAACTCCTGGGCTCAAGCGTTGCTCCCACCTCAGCCTCCCAAGTAGCTGGGACTACAGGCACACGCCACCATGCCTGGCTAATTTTTATATTTTTGTAGAGACAGGGTTTTGCCATGTTGCCGAAGCTGGTGTTGAACTCCTAGGCCCAAGTGATCCGCCTGCGTCGGCCTCCTGCAGTGCTGAGATTATAGAAATGAGCCACTGAGACAGCCTGAATTTTAGTAACCATAAGATTGATCAGTGAGTTCAGTGTTATCTTCCTGATTAATTTATTAGAAAATTCCCCATTAACCATCTACCTGATAGTTTTAGAGTAGTGATTCTTAAATCTGGATGCATATTAGGATCACCTTAGGAGCTTTTAAAACTGTCAGGGGGCTTCACCCCTGACCGACTGAATCTTAATCTCTGGGTGTAGAG